TAAATAATATAAAATAAAAATATTTACTACATAACACTGAGGTCGATGCAATCAAAGTAAATAAAATAAACCGGTTTTTGCATTTAAATGAAACCAATACGAAAAGTAACTTTAATCGTATAATAACAGACAAATTTTAAATTTTACATTTTTTATGCGCGGCACAATGTGCAATTGCAACTTGAAATCCAGCTTTTATAACAATCATTCAAAGAGAGGATTCCACCAGATTTGTTATTATGCTTGCTAATTCCAAAATTTACTACCCATCAGAATTCTCATATGTCAATCCGTTTATATTCCGCTAGGTTTTGCAACATTGTTAAATTATTGCAATATTCTGAAGTTACTAAACTTTTTTTTTTAAAACTTAGGCACCTTAATTCCCTACTTTCTAATGTAAAGCAAAGTAATAGAAGCCTGTAGGGTTTGCCATAATCTCAAATTTAAAACCTTCGACGTTTCAATATATTAAAACTTTAAATACTTGGCTTAGACTGCCACTATAATTATAGGCGTACATAGCCATAAAGCAAGTTACGCGAAACCAAAGTGGCAAAATGCGAATCTCATTCTTAGACTGGAAGAAATCGCAAGAAGAATTGACTAAGTCAACACGCTGCCTATTAAGAAGGCAAGACATGAAGTAGTTTCCTTTTTGAGACGCTGTTGATCAACACTTATAACTTTAAGGATTTTCTTAAATAGAAACTTTTTAGTTACTTCCACCAAAAATATTTTATTCTTTCATTCCTTTACTTAAACTTAAGATGAACGTAAAGTAATAACAAATGCAAAATAATACTTACTTGTCGAGATTTCCTTTTAACACAAAATGCGAAACAGTGAAAGGCACCTGTGCTTTGTTATAATTTAATAAAAGTGAATGTCCTGCAGCATTTCGATTTCTTTGTGTTTGATATTTTTTCATTTCGCATTCTCTGATTTTGCCTCGTACAATACAGTGACAACTATGGATCCCAACCTATACACTACTTGCATACCGGTAGGTAATGCCAACTACACTACGGGTGGTGTTTATGCACCGACAACGATGGCAAACGCTACTACTGATACTTTGGCCTCAGGTTTTGAAGCTGCGGGCTATGCAGCTTATTCAACGGCCCTCAGCGTGACCATAGCAATTGGTTGTAGTCTACTGATATTGAACGTGCTCATCTTTGCCGGTGTCTACTATCAACGAGATAAAACTCGTCTCGAAGTTAAAACATTACAAAAACAATATCAACAACGCGGCATGCATCAAGCAGTGCCCTCATATCCACCCGATCCCATTAAGCATGCTCATTATCATATGGGTCACTCGCAGAGTGCTAATGTTATTGTAGACGTTGAAAATCATGGTGATCAGGGAACTATACTGTTAACGGCCAGCGGTGATGTCAAACCACCACCACCGCATATGTGCACTAATGCTGCCATGCAATTAACTCAGCAGCAACAGCAGCATCAGCAACAACAACAGCAGCAACAACAAATGGTCGCTAATAGTTCGTTAACAAATCCAAATCTTAGTAGTCCGAATATTTGCGGCACAAAACCAGCAAACACCTTAAATCCCGTGGATGTTGGCTCAGCCAGTGGTATACTGGGCTCTGGTAGCCTTAGTAATGTAACTTACAGTACTACCACGAAACAGCAACAACAACAACAGCAGCAACAACAACAGCAACAACAATCGTTACAACAACGTGAACATTTACAAATTAAGAGCATGAACAGTGGCAGTAGCAATAGTTCGCTGATAGCTAGTGGTACCCAAACATTTGGACGAAATGCAACCACCGCCATCACTTCTTTAGCTGCCAGCAATAGCAATTCCCCCTCCGCCAATGTCAATTATAATTCTGGTCTGGGTAATAGTAACAGCGTTGCTGTTGGTAGTGGCGGTGTAGCTGTTGGTATAATGACTCTACCGAAAGCGGGAAGCGCATTACATCATACAAATTCTGTAAATTATGGACGCAATCCTGGAGGGAATTTAGCGAATAGTAGTATTAGTGCTGCTCTACTAGAAAGCCGTAACAATATGCTGCTGATGAATAGCAATGGTAGTGTTATTGGTGGTGGTATTACCACCAGCGACGACATGCACAATACTACTGGAGATTGCATGACTTTACCAAGAAATTTATCAATGTCATCACGTCATAATTTATCTTCAGGTAAGTAAAAGAAAATGTGAAAAAAAATGCGCACAAACATATCCCCGTAAATACAAGTCCAAAAATCATTTTAGAAACCATTTCGATAGCAATTTTTTTTTTTTTTTTTTAATTCCCCGATAGATAGGAGAAGAACATAGTTCAATTTCTTGTCTTTCCGTACCATTTAGTTATTTTAATAATATATGATCTCACTTCACTTGCAAAGTGCAAAATTTCACTGTACGACCCACTTTAGCTGATATTTGATATCCTTTCGAATGGATGGCAATAAAATGATTAAAACACATCAGACAGGCAAGACATGACACCATCAAAAACATTTCGGTTGCAAATACAAATTTAACTAATGTAAATAATGTTTTTTGTTCACTTCTTCATATATATATATAACAAGCAGAACAAAAAAAAACCCAAAAAAAAGAGTAAGAAGTAAAATATTTAAAGTGGCAGAAGAGCCTGAGATATGTAAACTTGAAAACATGATGAGTTCAAATCTCAATTCCTATGGCATGCTTTCCCCTTACATTGCTCTTGTTTCTTTACAGGCAAGCACTTTGCTTTATGAGCAGCAAAAAAAAAAACAAACGAATAATGTGGAAAAAAATGAATAAACGCAATTTTCGGTATTAAAATGCAATAGCAGATAGACCGGAGTGGCAAAGGAAGAAAAGCTCTGTGTATGAAAAGAATCTCATTCATTTTACCGGATAAAATGAAATTGTACAGATACAGACACAAAGAAGGCAAGATAGCAAAAGAAAAAAAAATTGAAAATAGATAAACACTCACAGGCGTAGATTCACACATATACATATACACATATATATATATATATATATACAAAGTCAACACAATTGACTACAATTTGTGTAAAATGGAAATAGCCAGAAAATACTTTGGCGAGGGCATCGCATAAACGAACTACAGCACACAGGGCACTATAACGGTATAGACATCAATGGTGCGATAAAACGTGTAAAAAGAAGCAAATTTTTGAATATAATATGAAAAGTAAACACACATCCAGAATTTTTTTTCTTTAACGATTTTAAATTTTTTCAATAACGGCCAAATTGAAAATTTCCTTTTCTTTTTTAAATGTTTACCAAACATAGAAAGAAGGATAGGAAGAAAAAAGCAAAGAAAAACGGTTTGATGTAATCATGCATATATTGTGTAGCAAAAATGTAATATTCTTTCTTTCATTTAAAATTAATGAAAAAAATTTCTTATCTTCACCAGCTTTAATAGTATATTGACGCTGTCCATAAATCTTTAGTCTTCAAGTAAGAATTCAATTCAATTTGTTGAGCATTGTACTCTATACTATAATATTGCGAAATAATATAATATATCCTTTATATCGCGTTAGAGAAGAAAATATTTCTACACCCTTCAGCAAAGGGTGACTATACATGTTGTTAAAACTTCTGCAACATCCAGCAAGGAGCTTCAGAGACGCCACAAAGTATATATATTCTTGATCAGCATCAAATTCTGAATCGATTTAATAATGTCCGTCTGTCTGTCAGTGTAATGTCTGTTGTAAGCAATTTACTGGCCCCAAAAATGAAGCTATCGACTTCAAATTTAGCGGAAACGTTAGAAAATCTTGCACGCAGGTTGGCATCGAACATGCGCCAATCGCTCGAAGAAGAGGACCACATTACAACGTAAACGGAGAACAACTCTGTTTTTAGAAGGCTTTAAAAACTTGGTTTTTGGTCATTACTTACAAACAATAGCAGATAAATGTACAAAAAATTTGTACATGCTTTGGCCATGCTTTACGAAAATAGACCACGCCTGCCTAATATTGTAGTATATCAAAATTTTATTTTTTTTTCAATACCTGTCCACCTGTCCGCCTGCCCAAGTGTGTAGTACACACATTCTCCCGTTCACAAAAATTAAGATATGGCCCACAAACTTGCAAAAAAATTTTGGAAGCGACCTAAGTTCTTCAAAGGACACGCCTTCAATGCCCACGCGGCTATGCGGCAAAAAGATATAAGAAAATAAGAAAAATTGCTCACTCCAAATTATAGAGCATGAAAATTTATTTTTTTTGTTTTTTAGGATAGCGGTGAAAGGTATAAAAGTTTCGGTCAAAACAAGGAGTTGGTATCTTTACAAAGCACAACATCCCACACACTAAAACTCAAACGTACAGGCCAGACCAATACAAATAACCGTAAACCAAAACCGATTAGATGTTGCGACTTCTCCATTATAAATAGTGGAAGGCAAACATCATCATCACACTTTTTCACTAATTAGTTTATCATGTAGCTCTTTGTTGTTTCTACCTTCCGTTTCCTCATCCGCTTCGAATGAGCTGCATAGCAGTGACCACTTCCCAATCATAATCACTTCGTTACTCCGGGAAAGCAATTTGCATTTGTTTTGGATCAAGCGGTTTGGATGAATATATCTCCGACTTCTCCCGTGTCTTGATTGAAAATAAAAGAATTCCAATTCCTCTATACAACGTTAACCCTACTGATGGATCTGCCATAATCCTAGGAAATCCTATATCGACTTTGGAACCTGAATCTGTCTCTCTGAACCAAAAGACAGGACACTCGGCCTGGATCGCATTTCATGCCAAATGATCAGTGCACTGGTTAATTCAAATAAAACGATGTTATATAATACTGCACTTACTGACAATATTCCCGACAATATTCCCTGACAATATTACAGACAATATTCCCGACATTTAGCAACTTGCGGCAGTTCTTCCATTCCATAAGTCTGAAAATACCTCCATCGCATCGGGCTATAACCAAACCTCTCTGCTATCTTGTCTCTCAAGATTCTACGGCGTCTAGATTATGCCGGTTTTTAAATTTGATAACTTGATTACAAAACAAAAACTTATGTACTTAATTCTATAATTAGCAATATTAATAAAAATTATCTGTTATACGTCCTGTTGGAAAGAGGCTTGTACTTACTTCTCTTAAAAATTTTCGCCTTAATAAAATACGGCCTCACCTATCGAAAATTACTTACTTGCAGATCAAGTCGGATTATCCTTGTATTCTAAAAAATTCGCAATGCCTTAGTCAGTCAGGCATTAAACCTAGCCATAGTTGTAAAACAGCGATGTTTTAAAATCTGAAAGATTTCTTTTATTTTTATTTTGTCACTTTATTTTTCGTATGGGTTTGGACATGGTCTTAGCTCCACAAACCCATAAACACGCAGATCATATTGACCACATATTTACTATGAGCAGCTCAATTTAAAATTTTCCTAATTCTACATATATTACTATAAGCACTATGCATTCTCCGCATTCTCTGCGATGCGTCTGGTTACTCGGCGCGGTTGTCCAAAATCTTGCTCTCAAAGCTAAAGCTAAATTAACCGATGAAGAACTTTGGCGTATGTCATCGTTTGTTCTAATAACACACCCAATATAAGAATAGTGAAATGTCTTTCGCTTATATCGTATGGCGCCAATTTGTACGGCAGCATATTGGCCAATTGATAGGTCTAAAAAAAGAGTGCAAGCCGTAGTATATAAGTACGTGCTTTTTATCTATAGAGAACGTGAATGTGCGATGATATCACAATTTTCATTACAAACTTTGAATTAACATTTATCGACTTAGTGAAGGAGCCATTTTAGTCTTGATAGTTCAATAACAATAATTTCTTATATTTCCATTATTATTAGTTGCCGAAAAAAGACCATTCCATTTCAATCACGCAGGCCAATCTAAGTGCGTAATATTTTCTACTTAGTTCGAAAACGTCTCACCACCACGGCAGCAGTTGAAGAAATTCGCTTTCATCTTAAAAGTTAAATGCTTCGATTCCACTCTTTCTCTTCAATTGAACTGAACCCATATCCTCAGAAGGACCTTTTAAGTTGAATGAATTGCCTGAAATCAGACAGGACCAAATTAAAGACAGGGGAATATGGTGAGGTCAAAACTATAGGAGGAATAAATAGGCATTCACATTTCAGAATGCTTCAAATTGTTACGGAATTGAATAAAAATTTTATTGAAATCAATTCGTGTTCGAACCTTGCAAGTTGAGCCAACAGTTTTTTGATGCTTTTAAAATCAAAGCCTGTCATGAGAGGTATCTCAAATAAAGCAATACTCGTAAATTTCACCCTTTTCTAGCAATTCGCACAAGGAGACGTGAAATTGCCGAAGTGATCGAAATCAAATATTGGATTTAAAAAAGTGATGCAACTTTCAAAAGTATAAATTTACGCTTTCTTTAGCAAATGGTAAATATTGTCGGCTTCAAATATAGTAAAAAGATTGAAAGTTTTTGTACGCAGGCTAATATTGAAAAGGGCTTAAATCGTCGTTGCAAAACCAAAAATTGAGGAAATTCAGCTTTCTGGGCTTTTGCTCTTTATTCGTAAACATTTCCATGTACGGTAGGCCATAATCTAATTATGATTGGTGTATGGCAGTAGCTAGTAATGAACTTTGGATCGGCTGCGGGAAGTACCGGCATCTCATCCCTCTTTCTATATCTCTCTCTTTCTGCCTGCTCATCATCATCATTACCTTGTTCATAAAGCAATATTCGTAAATTTCTTCCCTTTCTGCCAATTCGCGCAAGGACACATGAAGTTGCCAAAGTGATCAGAAGCAACAATTTGATTCAAAAAATGATGCAACTTTCAAACTTAATGAAAATACTTTTAAACTTATCCTCTCCCAGTTTAAACTGAAAATGCAACTGAAGGAGATCACTAAATAAAGTAAATCTGTCAATTTTGTAATTTAGAATTAAAAAGAGGCCAATGGAAAGACTTTTTTGCAATAGAATCATAGCGAAATAGTAAAAAAAAAGTTGGGCAATTTGCTATTCTTACCGTAAAGGCTTTGCTGATGACCGTCGCTTTGCACGTTCAAAAATCATGCAAATGGCAAATATTCGATGTACATACGATTTTCTACTATATAGTTATCGATTAAGATTTAAAGTTTAAATCTTGGAGAAGGAATTGCACGAAG